TGTAGCTGGAGTAAGAAGGCCTCATCAATAAGCTCCCCTTGATCAGGTGGCCTGTGGTATACACCAACCACAAGATCCCCTTTGTTTTCTTGTTTTCTGATCTCTACCCATAAGCTTTCAAACTTCTCATTGCTATATTTGAAGGACAGCTCTTCACACTCCATCAATTTCTTAACATAAAGGACAACACTGCCACCCTCCCTTCTGCTCCTGTCCCCCCTGAACAGTTTATGGCCATCGACGGCTACTCTCCACTCATAGGACTCGTTCCACCAAGCTTCAGTGATGGCCACTATGTCTTCCTGCAGCATAGTAGCTTCCAACTCTTCCTGTCTGTTGCCCAGGCTGTGTGCATTGGTGATTTTAATATATTTAATTATATTCTTGTTAATTTTATTATCGTTTCTTCTTAGTGTTTTATTGAAGCTGGCTTAGGTGTTTGTTTTTTTTCAACCTGCAAGTGTCTCTTCCTTATTCCCTTTCTCTGCTCCTTTTTGCAAGGGAGGGGGGTTAATAGAGAGCATGTGTTATTTGGTTTTTGGCCAGCTCAGCCTCAGCCCGTGACACCCTTCTTAAAGTAACTGTAATGCTGGCAATATCAGAAGAACCTGACCTTAATTCCTCTTTCAGATTGCGTAGATGTCCTTTTGAAATCATATTATTCGGTCTTACGCATTTTTGCACCTGCTATTTTTATTTGCAAAGTTTTCTTCCTATCTCTCCTGCCAAATGGAGACCTCATGCATCCATGTACACTCAGCGCTTTGTTTTTTTCCTGTGCAATTTTGGATCTGTAGGGTCCAATAATTTCACTGAATTGGTCAGTGCATTGTTTTCCATTTTTGAAACAAGGCTGAGCTTCTGAGGAGATGCAATCCAACCTGGTCACAGGGTTCTATTGCTTCTATTTAAACAGTGTCTGTATTATTATTAGGTATTAGTATTAACTTACTGTGGCAACTACTGTATTTTTTTCAACTGATTTTGTGATTACATTAGGCAAAAAGAAATATAAGACTGTAACTTACTGTGTACAATGTTATGTTGTAATAAAATTTGTTTATGCCATCAAATAATTCCTGCATCTTATTGATACGGTGTTTATGTAGCCATCAAATACTTCTGAAGGCTGCGTTAAAATTAATGAGGAAAAGGAAGCCTTTCATTAAACTCCTGTGGAAGAAAAGTAGACATCTGCATAAAGGAGCACAAAAAACTGCTGTCCTGTGTTCCAGGCTATGCAGATGCCACTATTTAGAAGTTCTGAAATCTTTTTAACTGTTGGAATAACAGAGAGGGATGAGGAAAGACTGAACAACTTGGCTTTTTAACTTCCATCTTGGGAGTGCTTTGCAAGTGACAGCAAATGAAGGTGTAGTAGCAATGTCTGGTCTGCTTCCCACACCTTGTTCTCTTAGTGTAGGAAAGTTTGATGAGTGACAAGCCTGTGCAGGAAAAGCTGCACTAGAAGGATGATTGTGATTATTTATCCTGTTCTGTTTCTTTGTAGAACTGAAGTTAGGAGAACTGCTTCATGACAAGCTGTAAGTATGCCTGTGGGGTAGTTCTGTTTTTTAGGTAAGATTAGTGCAAGTACATTAATGTTTACTAAGAAGCAAGTTGTGCAGTGTCAGGTAAGCTTTTTTTAAACTTCTACTTTAAATAAAATTGAAGTATTCCAAATATCACTCATCCTAGGCAGTATGTATATGATGCATCTCTATGAATGCTGAACATTTTTCTCATGGTGCTAGTAAAACCTTATATTTTCGGTTCATTAGTATAGTTTAGAAGTTGGTAATACATGTTATGATTGGTGGTATTGATACAACTGAACCTACTGAACTATTTTACATGGACATGGTTTTATTAAAAAAACTGCCAGAAAGACTTCAGGCTTTTAGGTTTGGTTGCCTCAAATGTCACTATCAAATTTAGGATAAACAATCCGTGTCCTTTAACATAACTTGTAAATGACATGCTAAAGTGGAAACTGAGAGCTCTACAGATTAAGAAAGAACACGTTTCAAAAAAACGCATGAAATAAAATCTTGCTGAATTCATTAAAGAACAACATGAGATTAAAATGTTTTAAAGATAAAAGTAAGTTAAGCTGCACGAATCTGTTCACTTGCATAAAGAAAAAAATGAGTAAGACTAACAGCTGAAGAAACAGAAGCACACTATTAAATGCAAACACGCTTAAAAACGTGCAGGGATGTCACCATGTAGTTACTCAGTAATCAAAGTACCTTTCTGGAGTACAGTTTTATATGTGAGAGCATTTCAGAGCAAATACATTTTTCAGAATCAGGTTGTGCCATGTGAAGTAACCTTAACGCACTAAAACCTTCTGCAGCAGTTCTGATCAGCATCCTGTGTGCCGAAGGTGAGGCACTATGTCCCTTCTTCTCTAGGCCAGTCTTCCTTTGGTGTGGCTCTGCTGCCAGCTTTTATTCAATCACTGCAGGTGATCCAGTGTCATATGATGGGCTTTTTTATTTTGTATTTGGTGTCTTAACATGCCATTTAAAACAAAACTGGTGTATTCAATATGTATTATTGTCAGTTTGTGTCATGTATATTGTCATTAGTTTGAGGGGCATGTGTCTTTCTTGGGCTTTTGGGTGTAGCATAATAAAGAACAGCTTGTTCAGTTAGTATCCTTTTATTATGTTGTGTGGTCTTTAAAAGATGCTGTGTCATTATGAGGTGTGAAGAAACAAGTGTGCATAGATTTATTAGTGGAGTATTTGGCTCAGGAGTATTCTATCAGTTTTAAAAAACCCTAACAGTTTTACTTTACTTCTAGGAATCTATTTTCTTGCTTATTTGTTGAGAGAGCCTCACAATCCTGTGGTCTCTGAAGATCGGCAGGAAGCGTCACACACCTTGCATGCAGTCTGTAGTCAGAATATGGCATACTCAGTTTGTCATTGTATGCTCTTTTACATTGGTTTGTGAAGACTGTTTGCTATATTCAGAACAATCTTTTTTTTTGTGTATATGTGTTCTTAGTTTTGGTCTTTTTGAAGCCATGTCTGCCATTGAAATGATGGATCCCAAGATGGATGCTGGCATGATTGGAAACCAAGTTAACAGAAAGGTTCTTAACTTTGAGCAAGCTATTAAGGTTTGTGTGACTTTCCTGATTTCCTACACCGTACAAGTATGATGCAGTTTTATCAAATTGCAAGAAAGCACAATTTGCCATAATTTATGTTTTCATTCTTTACTTAAAATTTATTTTTTTCTTTTAAATAGTTAAGTAAGGAACAGCTTGCAATGCTTTCTTTTTTTACTAACTACATTATGATAAGGAGGCAGACTGTTCCAGTGAAAAGTACTGTTAAATTGTTGGCTATGGATACATCCAACAAATACATTTCAGAAATGGTTTTGCAAGTCACCCTGTACTTTGCCCAAATCTGTCTTTTATATGAAGATGTATTGGTTAGTCCCTCTTCAAGCTGAACAGAAACCAGCTTCCTTACCAAAGCTGGAAATTAATGCTTTATGTGACTAGGTTCATTAGCATTGAACAGAAACTGGCTAACTGAAGGACATTGGCAGTAATTATTAACTTTTTATGCATGGTCAAAGTAAATTGGTGGAGGAGGGTTGAAAGACTTTCTATCGTTTTGGAAAAAATAATGCACTCAGAGGGGAGAAAACCCTTTTTTATTACCATAGGCGTCATTTTGAAAAGACTAAGGAAACTGTATAAAAAACTGTCCCAGTCATGTAGGATGTATGCAGAACTGGGCAATAAAATTAAACAAGTAGGGTTGCTGCCTTCCTGGTCCTGACTTTGAAGGCAGTGAAACTCTACGAGTATTTGCAGTGTAAAACAGCAGTCTCCAAAGAACGGGTCCTGCATATACTATTCCTTGTACAATTGTTGTTATGATTATACGTATGGTTTTGTAATTTAAGTGTTGCAGTTAACTGGTTTTAGACTTCTATTGGCTGCTCATAAATCAGAAATCTTTTTTTAACTTTCTCTTTGGATAGCTTTATTTGCTCAGTGTTCAACGTAATGGGGAAGCAAAGTTTTTCAGAATTCAAGGCACATTATGAAGCTGAGGAATAAAACAAGTGGTATAAAAAATATGCTGAAGTCTTAACCAAATGGTGACTTCCATTTTGCTTCTACAAATAATAAGTTGTGTTTTTCTTATAAGCTTCTATAGTCTTTAGTTGTTTTTTTTTTTTTCTTTATTTTCTAAGGATGGCACCATTAAAATAAAGGATCTCACTTCACCTGAGTTGGTAGGAATAATGGATACATGTTTTTGTTGTTTGGTAAGCATTTCTCTGCTCTTAACTCTACATACTTTTACTTTTAAAATATAATCCTTTAATCCAGCTGTAAGAACAAAACAGACATAAAAACCCCCCTCCTTTGAAGTAATGAAAAAAATTCACCAAGCAGGAAATACATACTTAATATTTTAATTTCCATTTAGATATTTGCATTGGCTATTGTAAGAGGCATAATTTTTATTTTTTGTCTTTTATTTTATTACAAGAAATTATGGAAGAGAATTGGTAATGTTTTTGAATAATGTAAAAAGATTTTATAATGTGTGGCTTTTAAATGTATGGTATTTGACTGCCTGCTGTGTATTGGTGTTTGTATTGGGAAGTGAGTGTGCAGTAACCTACAGCACTCTTATTCATCTCCATCCAGCCAACATTGAGCTTGCAGGGGCATTTAATAAGTAAATTATCAGCTAATTATCAAATGTGATTTTTTTCTATGTATATGTCTTAGTTTTGTCAGTAAATGATAGAAATTATTTTCAGTTACTCTTCAAAATCACATCAATAAAATGACTTCACTTTTTAAAAAACATTTCAGATTACTCCAAAAAGACACGTAAAGGTCTCTGTATGTTTGATACGGCATAACATAATTCATCATCTCCCTGGCCCCCAAATGGTTTTTTTTTTTTTGGAAAGGGAGAGTGGTCCTATTAAAAATCTGATCCCACTATGTCTTATACTATTTTAAGGTAGAAATAATTGTTTAAATTACTAAAGCTTTCCCTGTAATTTAAAGCAGAATGAAAGTAGTAGAGGGAAGGAATTGTGAAAAGAAGCTGTAAGTTACAGAAGAGAACATGCAGAACGTTGTCAAGTGGTTTTGTAGGCACTTGCATTTTTCATTCAGTGTTTGTATACACAGGAAGCTTACAGATCTGATGGTCTCTTAATGTCATTCTTTAAGCCACAGAGATCAAACCTGAATTTGATAGTGTTACAGAGTTTAGTAACTTACTGCCTGCCACAGCCAGCGAGTGGGCCAAAGGTTAAAGGCTGAGAGACCTTCTCATACCCTTTTTTTGCTAGATGGAAGGTTGACATGCTAGGGACTTCCTTAACAACTCACTGAAGCACAGTAAGATGGAAGAAGAATGTGAAGAGTTGGCTGTCATGAGTAAAACATTTTCATTTTCTTCTCCCTAGATAACGTGGTTAGAGGGACACTCGTTGGCGCAGACAGTATTCACTTGCCTTTATATTCATAACCCAGACTTCATAGAAGATCCTGCTATGAAGGCTTTTGCTCTAGGGATCCTAAAAATCTGTGATATTGCCAGAGAAAAGGTTAACAAAGCTGCTGTTTTTGAGGAGGTATGTGCTTCAATATCTCCTGTGGTTAAATATGTAACGTTATGCATATGCATTATTGCTCCCTAATGCAAGTAAAACAGTATGATAGAGAAGTCTGTTACTGTTTGAGTCAAGGATACTGTAGGAGCAGAGTTCATCCTCCCCAAAGTACTTGATCTTTTTAAAATAACATTTTCTTCAATGTTGTTTTAGGTCTAGGGGCAGCCCTAGACCTTCTGTATTTTGCTTGAGTATTGGAGTCATGTAAATATTTTACTTAAGAAACAAGGCAAGTCTTGTGACTAGATATTTGAAGTCACTTTTACTTATTTGATGTCAGTGTCTTTCTTTTTAATTTTAATATTTTAAAATTAAAAAAAATCTTTAATTTTTTACTTTTTGTCTTTAGATAATCATGATGGTCATTTTTTTCTGAGATGTCCATCTAGCGCTGGAATCAGAGTCTGTTTTTCTGTGCTTAGAACAATTTTTGTTTCCTCTGAGCTTGAACAAATCACTTGTTACTGACTATATCTAAAATCAGTTAAATAATACCTTGCATCCATAGTTCTTTTAATACTTCGAAAAGTGTCATACTTGATGAAATTATGTAGTGAGTACTGGTATTAAGGCTTTATGCAGAAAACAATTAGCATATGCTGGATTTGGGCAGGAAGATGACCCAAACCATGGATGTGTTCAGTTGTGCAGGATAAAACCAGACTTTTATACTTGGTATAGTTGGTATAGTTAAACAAAAACATCCTACAAGAAAAAAAAGAAAGAAAAGAAGACAAGCCAAAGAAACCAAACAACAACAACAAAACCCAAACCGCAACTTGAAATTGTAACTGGCACTGTTTATATTTCACTACATATTGCTTCTTTGGTTTTTGTTGCTTAGGAAGATTTTCAGTCAATGACTTACGGATTTAAAATGGCCAACAGTGTGACAGATCTTAGAGTTACAGGTACAGTTTGTCTTTTCTGTGTATCAGTCTCTTTTGAGCACATTGGATACTTTTCAGCCAAGCCTAATGAATTGGTAGGAATCTCAGATCTTAATTTTTTTAAGTAGTCTTGTAATTTGTGGCTTGCTAAAAAGATTACATTATTTTTCCTTGAAGAAAAGGTTCAGCTGTTTGTTTGCTAAATGCCTGAGAAACAGCAGAAGTGCTTTTGGGTGTCCCACCCAGGTGACTAGGGATGAGCTCATCCAGGACTGAGACAGAAATGAACTGTGAGAAAGTGCACTGCTTGTTTTCTGCTTCCCTGCCTCACAGTTTGTGATCTAAACAGATTACTTTTGAGGAAAGAGCAGTCTAGTAGTTCCAAAGCTATGATTGTGTGTTATTAGGTACATATGTAACTATGTACATTAGCCTTTTGCTGCACTGGTTTTGATACGTGTTTGAGCTTCCATTGACTTATTTTTAGAAAATTTGTGAACAGTTAAGCTTTTGATCAGTCAGTCTGATATATATATATTGTTGCAAGACATCCCCACCATCCCTCACCAGAATAATTTTTTGTCTAGTCCTTGGCCTGTGGCTATGTAAAGCACTTCAAAACTTGATTTCGCCACAAAATTTTGTCCTATTGAGAGGTGTAGGTGTACCTAGGAGTGCTTCTTGGCTTTTAATTTTACTGTCACTATTCCAGGTATGCTGAAAGATGTAGAAGATGACATGCAAAGACGAGTGAAGGTATTTTTTTTCACATTTCCCTTACAATTATGCTTCAAGTGTACTCAACATAGGTTTAAGGGTTGGACTACAAAGAATGCAGCAGTTTTGTGTCATTAAATGGTGGGGTTTTTTTAAGAACTACCATAATGGTTGGTGTAATGTGCTGATAGTCTAAAGACTCATTTTTCACTGTTCTTTTCACTTAATCTTCTTTTACCACAGTTTATCGTATAAAAGGTTCATCCAATTTCCTTGCCTATTTGCAGAGTGCACTGAGATTGGTCTCATTACTATAGGAGAGTCTTGCATCATTTAGGTACCTGGATTATATATCAAGAGTTTTTGAAGTTAAGAACTGTCTGTTTGGGTTATTTAACAGGTGGATGTTCTGGAGAGGGTAAAGGATTTATTTTATCAGTAGCTTCCCTTTGTGATTTTTTTTAATAAATCATTTGAAATTCCTTTACCTTCTAGAGCACTCGGAGTCGACAAGGAGAAGAGAGAGATCCAGAAGTTGAACTTGAAGTAAGGAATTGTTTGCTTTTTTTTTTAAATGATGGATTACTACATCATTACTTTAATCTGTAGTTAACAACTTGTGAGAAATGTATTGCTACTGCTGTCATATCTGAGCTGCCCTAAACATGTCAGTGAGCAAATCCCACACTCTCAGGTAGGCTTTTGTCCTTTGAAGGGGTGGAGTTCTGGATCAGTCCCAGTGGCAGAAGAGTGACATGCTGCAGCTCTGCCATTTATGCACCTACCTCTCAAGAAAAAAGCCATTAGCAAAGTAGGTGGTCTAGTCCATCCTGGACCTTCTTCCCTCAATTTCTTCCCAGCAGCGTTTACTGCTGCTGGCAGCCTCACTGTCAAGGGAGAAAGTAGGTAGAGAATGTGTAAACCAGTGTAGATCCTTCCAGAAAAAGTGGGAATTGCGCTGGTTTGAACGTGGATGATTTAGAAGGGTGTGGGTTTCCTTTCCCAGTGATGTTATTTTTTTCAGAAATTACTTTTAACATAGGTCTTCAGCAAATAGGAGAGAAAATCAATTTAATAATATATGGTTGCTCACGTAAGCTGAAATATGAATGTCATTTTTCTAGGAGATAGCTGTGCAGCCACTGGTTGTGCTTTATGTAAAGTATCCTAGTGTTAGTTTTGTGTTAGTGCTTACCTGACAGCAGTGCAGGTTTCTTCTATAATATCTATAACTTTTTTTTTAGGATCATAAAGATGCCTTATTTTTAAGACTAGAGAGCATACTTCAGTAGAAGTTTTTGTTTGAGTTTCAGGATTTAATGCCTATTGCTTAGTAATTTGCAGTATGTATTTATTACAGCATCAGCAGTGTTTAGCTGTGTTCAGCAGAGTCAAGTTTACCCGGCTACTACTGACTGTTCTAATAGCATTTACCAAAAAGGAGGTATGTTCATGTGGTGTTTCTGTGTTCATATTGTGCTCTTACGAAATAATCTTCATTCTCTAAGGTCAAGCAATGATACTGTGCATCGTGTAGATTGGAGCTGATGTTGCTGCAAGTTAAGCATTAGATAAGGCCTTACAGTGACAACCACTGAATTTTCATTCATTTTCAAAGAACACATGGGGAAGTAGCTGGCATTATTATGGGCTTGCAGAGAAGCGATATTCATTCCAGAGCACTTGAGAAAAAAACATTTGTGGGGTTGAGATTACTCGTTTTACATACATGGAATTTTCTTTCTCGAATTCAGTGCTGTTATGTGGAGTTACCTGGTGTTGGGCAGTGTTTTGTCCATCTCTAGCGAATTGTTAGCTTTTCCTTCCATGTGATACTGAATTTGTATCTAGACTTCTTTGATCTCAGAAGAAAAAAAAACGTAACAGCTTTCTAAGCAATTTGCCTGCTTTTCTTGATTATAAGATTTGCCTTAGTTGTTGAGGCAGGAAGGAATGGTTTTTGGGCAAAGGGGTAAAATCACATCACATACAACAAACCTGTTGTTTGAATAGCTTTTTCTTTATACAAGGATAAATATCTATCTGTTGCTTATTGTTATTTCCATTTCTGTAAAGAAGTAAACAAGTTCCTTGCTTAAGTGGCATGGGGTTTTTCCCACGTATTTTACTGTTGGTGTAGCTGTATACTGTACAGCTTAAAGCCTTGATTAAATTGAAAGTCAGGTGCAAGTTACTGATAGACATGAGTGAGGAAAATGAGCAGTTGAGAACAATTCCATTCTGAGTATAACCATTAGTTATATCAGAAATCAAACTGACATAGAAATGATCTACACTGATGGGCATCCAAAATCAGTGCTAACTGCAGTGCATTAATGATCGGTACAATATGAGATTACCTTAGTGTTACTAAAGTCTGATTACTTAAAGTATAAGTTAACAGCATCATGGACTATTTTGCTTTGAATTAGATCTGCTTAGCAGCTTATGCTGTTAGTAGATTTGTGGGTACTATAGTATGTGAATGTGTATTATGCAGAGCTACAGATCTTGTCCAGCTTCTGTTAGAGGTACACCTCTCTTTTCTAAAAAAAATCACATTTCAATTTGACTTGAGCTTTCAAATGTTTGAAATTCCCTTAGGGACTCTTAGTCCAGTATTTTTAAAACAAGATTTTAGATTTTACAGATATCTATTTTAAATGGTAACTAGTCAGTTTACAGGTTTGGATTCATAGGACGTCAGAAAACTCATCACGTCAGCAGGTTGTGAATCAAGGTTTCCAGTGGACAGCTGGTATCTTCTAATGTTATACAGTGATTCATTTCAGTTGATAGACTGAGTTTTGCAAGAATTCTGCATTTTTAATGGTACATGTTTTTCCTCTGTGCAGTTTGGAGTTCTGCCTCATTTGGCAGAAGAATTATGTGGGGTGCTTTGTCCTGCCACCCTCCCCCCAACCTGTCAATTTTCCAAAATCAAAAGTTGAGGTTTTGCACGTAGTATGTATTGAACTTTCAGTTGTAGTTATTGTTAAAGCTTATCTTATGCAGAAAAAAACCCATGGTATTATATGTGTATGTGGATATGTAAAGTACAAAGAATACTCAATTGCAAAAAAAAATCTGTTTGGTATTTTTTTTCAGAACGGGATGTGTACATAGACTAGAACCCCAACATATTTTCTGATACTCATATTAATTCTGTAGTCAAAATATATTGGGTCATAGTGTGAATCACTTTTACCTGCCTTTCAGACAAGCGCAGTTGCAGAAGCTCAGAAACTAATGACTCAGGCAGCTGACTTGCTTTCAGCCATCCACAATTCATTGCACCATGGTATCCAGGCACAGAATGATACCACTAAAGGAGGTATGTATCAAATGTATTTTCCTTTTTAAAATATGCTGTCTTGATAAATTTTAATATCAAAGTGTATTAAAAAAAATCACTCCTTACTTTCAGCTAATAATATTCATTATGCAAGCTGTTACAGATTTGCATTGTTTGATCTAAATTTTATTTCACTAAGTGGTGGTTCTTGATGGTTCTCCTGGAAGCAGTACTGTCACTTCAGAGAGAACATGAATTTTTATAAAAGTGTATAGCACTTTTGAGTCCATGCATGTGCTGTTTTAAAATAGGGAACACTGCCTCATTGTCTGTACAGGTACGTGCTGAGGTGCTGAGGGCTGTTTTTTTTTAAAATAGTAATTATTGTCTCAGTTGAGTAGTTGGTGTCTCTGGAAGTAAACTGTCAGTTAAAGAGCACATTTGGGCTAATTGAATAATTTGTGTTATACTTTCAAATTTGAAGTGAGTTCTGTAACCGCAGCTTACGTGCAGCATTTTGCTGTCTCTTCTCTCCTTTTTCCTTAGATCACCCTATTATGATGGGTTTTGAGCCCCTTGTTAATCAGAGACTGCTGCCACCAACTTTCCCTCGATACGCAAAAATAATTAAAAGGGAAGAAATGGTCAATTATTTTTCCAAACTAATAGACCGAATAAAAACTGTATGTGAAGTAGTCAACTTAACTAATTTGCACTGTATACTGGTAAGCACAAATACTTCTTACTTAGAGTGAAAAATAAGAACTTAAAATGTAACTTGCAAAAACTTTCCATATAGACATGCTCTTGCTCACTGTAGAAAACTGAACTGTATGTGTAAATCTTCTGGTATTTCACGTGTACAATTGCAAAATTTGCTGTCTTTCCTGATACTTAATATTTTTTGGTTTTTGACACAGAATTTTTCTCCTCTCAGACCTCCCACTTCGTGTAATCTGTTAAATAATTATGGATGTTAGTGGTGGAGCCCAAGCAAGTTAATTTCCTTGTAGCTCTTTCTTTGGTTGAAGAGCTGCATCTGCAGTAGCAGAACATAATTCTTTTCTGTATTCCTGATTTTTTTCTGCATACGTGCCTAGAACACAAGAGAGCACTTAACACATTTTTGTTTAAGCACATAATTCCCTGAATAGGCATAAAGTAGAGCTAAGCACCTGCTTGTGTTCTGCTGTGACTAAGTGATGTTATTCTCAGTTACTGTGTACATTTATTAGAAGACACTTAAATGCTGGAAATACTTTTTACTGTACATACATTGCCTAACAGGCAAGATGTAACCAATTACATCAGGTTAAAGATAAGCAAAAATCTCTTGTCTTCCTATTTTCCTGTTAAATTAATTAAAGCAGTGTTTGTATGAAGCGTCTGGAGGCAGTTAAACGTTGCACTTTTGTTACATAACTGGTTCAGTTATGCTGTGATCCTATCAGTTTCACAGTATTTTTTTTCTATGGTATCATCCTAATTACTGCATCTGAAGAAGAAAATTCACAACCTTTTTGTTCTGTTATTTAGCAAGTAATTGCAGAAAAACAAATTCCACTTCATAATATGTTGTTTTGTTCAAATTATTCATGTTTGCTTTCTTACAAGTTGCTATGCAATGTGTATGTGTGTATACAAAACACACAGACATATTTATACAGTCGTGTATACATTTGCATAAAATGCAAATGTGTGTGTGCATGAAAATGTGGATGGGTATATATAATATTAAAAATTGGCATATTAACCTGAACTTTTCTTTTTTTTTTAAATGTAAATCAGGATTTTTTCTGTGAGTTTAGTGAACAATCACCATGTGTTCTTTCAAGATCCCTGTTACAGGCAAGTCCTAATCTATGTCTTTGAGTAAAGTACTTCTGCATTCATGATGAACATGGATTCATCCTCGTGTTCCAAATGTTTAAATTATTTACATAACACTTAGTAATATGTGCTTATGTTCTTAACTAATATTTTAAAACATTGTAAAGACTGTTGTTTAGATCATGTTGGTACAAGCTAATTAAACCAGAGTGTTAAAATCATTTCTCTGCCGGAAAGCTGAGTCTGACAAACCTGGTGGCCTTCTATG